AGGGAACCAAATCTAACCCATACTACATGCATTAGTCCTGGTCATCCTACAGTTGATGGGCAACTCATACCAGGCAGGGGAAGGGAGCTGGTTAGGGAAGAAGGGGTCACTTTTCATCTTTTTAAAGTCATAATTTATATTTTAACCTCAAACATATTATCAGTGCCTCAGACACAATTTAATCTTAAGTCTTTAAAGGCCCCCTGAAACAAAGGTGTATATATATATTTTTAAGCTTCCTCACTTCCTAATAGTCAGTTTCCTTCCAGTCTCCAGTTTTACCCTGACTTTGAGTCCACAAACTTCATCAGACCATCCGTGCTCATGGATTTGGGCCTCTCTAGAGGGAAGCCTAGTGCTCGGCTCCAGATGAGCTGTGCCAGTACACCCAGTGCCCGGGACACCCCGAACAGGACCGTGTAGTAATTCATCTCCGTCATGCCATAGTACTGGAGCAGCACCCCACTGTGAGCATCTACATCGGGCCAAGGATTCTTGGCCTTGCCCTGTTCCAAGAGGATATTGGGCACAATCTTGTATAGTTGAGCAACCAGCTTAAACATGGGGTCATTAGGCAGATGTTTCAGAGCAAACTCTCGCTGACAGGTATATCGTTGATCAGTCTTCCTTAGTACTGCATGACCATAGCCTGGAACAACCTGTCCTGAGTTGAGTGTGTTCCAGATATAGTCTCGTAACGTCTCATCTGATACCTTGTTGCCAACTTCCTTCTGTAGTTGTGTTAGCCAAACAAGCACTTCCTGATTTGCCAGTCCATGTAGAGGCCCTGCCAGCCCATTCATGGCTGCTGCAAAGCACAGGTAAGGGTCTGAAAGGGCACTGTCCACCAAGTGGCTGGTATGGGCACTTACATTGCCGCCCTCATGGTCACTGTGGATAGTGAGGTACAGGCGCATGAGCTCAGTGAACTGTGCATCAGGATAGCCTAATATGTTGGTGAAATTGTGGGACCAGTCCAGCTTAGAGTCAATGGCCCCAATACTGGTGCCCTCCCGGTAGAGATTCTGGTAGATCTTTGCTGCAACACAAGGTAGCTTTGCGATCAGATCCATACAGTCTTCATAAATCAACTCCCAGTATTTGGTTCGGTTGATACCCTCTGAATATGCTCGGGCAAAGTTACTTTCACTGTTGAGGGCTGTAATGGCTGTACTGAGCTGAGACACAGGGTGCAGATTGGTGGGAAAGTTGTCCAGCATGGTGACCACATGGGAAGGCAGAGCTGCTCTCTTTGCCCACTCTTTTGAGAGCCAAGATACCTGTTCCTCTTTTGGGATCTGTCCAGTTACCAGCAGCCAAAATAAGCCCTCAGGCAGGGGTTCTTCCCCTCCCTTAGCCTTGGGCAGCACTTTCTGGCATTCAGGGATACTAAATCCTCGGAAACGGATGCCCTCATCAGGATCAAGAACTGATGTTTCGTATACCAATCCCTTCATGCCTCTCATGCCACCATACATCATGTCCACAGTGATTTGGCCCACCACTGTCTTGCCATGTTGCTGTCTGAAGGTCTTAATTCTGGCCTGCTCTTTAGGTATCAGATCAGCCAATATGTCTTTCAAATTCGTGGAGGAAGCACTCGCATGCCGGGCAGCAAAAACAACACAGGATGCATTCTTGGCTCCCAAGAGGCAGGCGGCCGCAGTGAGTAAAGCCATGGCGGGCGAACTCCAGGATCTGGTGGGGAGGGAAGGAGGGGAGAGAGCTGGGCAGGAACGAGAGCCGCTGCCGCTGCACCAAACAAAGCTGTATGGAACTTTTGACATAAAGGTTCTAAATATTGAACTAGTCAAATCTATTGACCTTTCTTTTTTTTTTTTTTTTCCAGTTTCTGCCTTAGCTGGTTTGTTAGAAATAATCTGAATGTATTAAAATAAGCATATGCACTTACATTTTCTTCTAAACCTTTTATGGTTTAATTCTCAAATTTAACTCTCTAATACATTTGTAATTTATTTTGCTATATGATATAAAGTTGTGATCTATATATATTTCCAGATAGTTAACAATGTTTTTTAATTTATCTGTTGTACTGTTTTGACTTTTTTTTTTTTGTTAGCACTGCAAACCTTTCTTTAAATAATGGCTTGCCTCATTGGGTGTGTAGATAGCGGGCTGGGACTTTGCGAGTTTTGCCTCCTGAATACCAAGAGGCCTTAAGAAGCAGCCGCAGCCTAACATCCCCCATCTGTTGGACATCCTCGGAATGTACTCTCTTTGCTGGCTGTTCTCTACACCAGATTTCTGACAGCTCTTCCTCAGCCTCCTCCGTGGGCACTTGCTCCTTCGCCCATTCTTTGAGGGTCAGGGATCCCTTAACTCCCTCTCTGGCATCTTGCAGCAACCTTTGCCAAACCCCAGGCATCAACAGTTCTCCCTACTTAATGGCTTTCAAATCCTCATTTGAAAGCTCTACCCTGAGTTCGTGCCAGCAAATAAAACACCCGACAGGTATCTCATTGCTATTGCAACCTGAACATGTTCAAAACTGAACTCATATATTCCCTGTATTCTAAACCCTTCTCTTCTACCCTTCTTTAACTTAAAGAATGGGGCCACCATCCTCCCAATTTCCTAAACAAGAAACTTGGAAGCCATCCTATATACTACCACCCCTCCCCTTTCAGTCATTAAATCCTATTGCTTCAGCTCCTTAAGTATTTCTTGATATGTTTTCCTCTACGCTCTTCCTACCCAACACCGCCAGAACCTTGTTCTTCCAGCTGCCAGTGTGCCCCTCTGCAGACCAGTCGGACTTCACTACCACTACAGTTACATTTTAAGGACAAGCGCACTGGCTTTTCTGGTCTCCCAGTCACAGTTTTCACAAGGCCACTGCTTTCCTCTCCTTTCCTCCAACAGCCCATCCCAGGGCCTCCATCGGTGGACGAAACACAGGGTGCTCTTTCAGGATTTGAGGCCCTGACTGACACTGCCTTCCCCACCGGCCACCTGCATCGGCCTCCCAGGTTCAGCCCAGGAGATGAGCAAAGGTCGGGGGAGCTTTGCTGTCCACCCCAGTCAGGAGCCCTCTGCTGGGTTGGCCCCTGTGCGCCCCCTTTTTTTCAGAGGAAAACAATTCAGTTCAAAGAAAGGCAGGGATAGGGAGGGGGGAGAGATGTTTTGTAAAAGGGCTTTGGATTCAGGACGCGTTTGGAGATCAAGTCTTGTTGGCTTGGGAAATAACAGCCTCTCTGGGCCTGGTTTGCTTGTTCGTATAGCGGGGATATTAAGTCCTACCACACACACACACACACACACACACACACACACACACACACACACACACACACGTGTTGAACGCTTGAGTGTAAGCTCCCTGCAGGCAGCGTCACAGCGTATTCAATGCTGTATCGCTGGAGCCCGGCACAGGGAGTGGCCCAAAGAGCTGTTCACTAGCAACGCAGGAATTTTCTGGTTCGTGGGCGGACGACCGGATGCAGCGGGCGAGGAGCTGGCACCGCCTGGGGGTCCCGGGGTTCCGGCCGGGTCGCCCCGACTCCTCCTGCGGCGACCGTCGGCCCAGGGGCTGGGGGACAGCGACGAAGCCCCACTCCGCCGGCTGACCCCCGCCTGGCCGGCGAGCCAGCTCCGGACATCCGCCCCGCCTTTCCGCGAAGCCTCGGTGCCCCGGGCCTACCTCGGCGGCCGGGTCAGCGCCGCGGCCTCCAGCCTCCGGCCCCAGCCCGCCGCCACCGACACCGCCGCCGCCGCCGCGCGGAGCGCACCTGACCCGGGCGGGCGGGGCGCCGGGGCGGGGCGGCGGGACTGACGTGGCCGCGGCATGGGGCGGGCGTGATTCATCAGCAGCCGCGCCGGGGCGGCATGGGGGC